TTAGTCCACTAAACAAGCTTTTTCTCCACAAAGACCGCCTCATATCGTTAGGATAAATGTCAGAGAACATATAGAAAACGACATGTAAACGTGTTGTCTTACCTTACCGGTGTGGTGCCATGTTTGTTGTTTACCATTTAGCTAAGGCTGCAACCGGTCCCATTCCTTCCTTCCCATTCCAACAGAGGTATTGCTCTTCTGTGGGCACTGGGGTACAGCATTCACAGGTAACGTTACACCACCGATCTCCAGAGCTAAATCCTTCCAGCAGCCATTCCTCCTCTGTCATCCTCTAACGTTACCTGTTGTGCCTCTCTCTCTCTCCTCCTCCGTTCTTCAATTTCACAAAGCTCTTCGTCAGTGTATTCTGGCTCAAATAAATAAGGGCGGCCATCGCCTCTCGATGTGGAAAGCCTATATACTAACATTCCACATGTAGGTGGTCTTCAGAGTTGTTGTCTTACCTTACGGTGTGTTCACTGTTTAGCTCTGCTTCCCAAAGCGCGGCCGAAATATCGCAAGAACAAGCAGCAATCTCATACGGTGCCTGAAATATCGTGAGAATAAGCCGCAGCAGCTGCAAGGCAGAACCGGACAGTAGCTTGAAAGGTTCATTCATTTATTTTATGAAAGATTTATAGAATAATGGCTGACTTTTTGCCAGACTTCGACTTTGTAGAGGAGGAATTTGATTTTGCAGAGTTTGATGGCCGCCCTTATTTATTTGAGCCAGAATACACTGACGAAGAGCTTCGTGAAACTGAAGAACGGAGGAGGAGAGAGAGAGAGGCACAACAGGTAACGTTAGAGGACGACAGAGGAGGAATGGCTGCTGGAAGGATTTAGCTCTGGAGATTGGTGGTGTAACGTTACCTTTGAATGCTGTTTCCCAGTGCCCATAGAAGAGGAATACCTCTGTTGCAAGGAATGGGACCGGTTGCAGCCTTAGCTAAATGGTAAACAACAAACATGGCACCACACCGGTAAGGTAAGACAACAAGTTTACATGTCGTTTTCTATATGTTCTCTGACATTTATCCTAACGATATGAGGCGGTCTTTGTGGAGAAAAAGCTTGTTTAGTTGACTAACTTTGCACTGGAAAGGATGCCCGTTCAATTAAGTTTTAACAGGTCTGACGCTACGGCTGTATCTAGGCTAATGGCTAACATGCTAACTATTATTTCTATGTCACTAGTGACTTGAAACAAATTTAGGACGATAGGAGACGGGCTGAAATAAACCGAATTTCCCTTTAATGATAACAATTTTAAGGCTGACCTATTGATCTCATTTAGGGGCTTCCTGCTGCCTAATGAAGGGCACTGATTTACTTGTTTCCTTGGTTTACTTATTTCCTTGCATTACCCCAACACTCCACAACTAAAATTACTGCCTCCCGCTTCTATGACTCTGTGCACCAATCAAGTTGCACTTAAAGTTTACATCCACGTCTCTGAAAAGATAGATGCTTTACACACATCTTCCTCCCAGCACAGAAGATCTTAACAATCAGCACGATTTCAAGGTGGACACCCAAGATTAGTGTCACCAATTCAGTATCTAACCAAATGTCTCCCCTTCTGCTTCTGAGTTATGATGTTGAATAATGGCCAGAAAAGTGTTCTTGCAGAACATTATGATGTCACAGTGAAGTTGACCTTTTGGATATAAAATGTCACAGTGACCTTTGCTTTTCAACCACCAAATTCTATGCAGTTCATCGTTGTGTCCAAGTGGCAGTTTGTACCAAATTTGAGAAAATTCCTTCAGGGTGTTCATGAGATAATGCGTTCACAAGAACAAGGCAGAAGTAAGGTCACAGTGGCCTTGACTATTGACCATCAAAATCCAGTCAGTTCACTGCTGAGTCCATGTTGACAGGTGTGCCAAATTTGAAAAAAAAAAAAAAAAAAAAAAATCCCTCAAGGTGTTCTTGAGATACTGCGTTCACAAGAATGGGATGGATGTACATATGGACAGAAATACAACCCATAACCATGATGCCTCCGGGAACCGCTATTGCTGGCACAGAGGCATAAAAACTGCTCATCAGCCTCACATGATTAAAGCTATAAAATAATCCTGAGGTAAATAAACAGAGGCAGTGAAGGTCTGAGTCGCTGGTGGTCATGACATGAGTCTTTTCTGACGTTAGACTAAGAGGATTCCTCTCTCATTGTCTTTATCCCCCTCTCTCTCCATCACACCGTTGTGATTACAGTGTAGGTATAAATCAAACTAGTAAGCATTCATCAAGAATATTAATATTAATTAATATTATTAATTTGGGGGTTTGCTGCTCTTTGCCCACCACTGTAGACCAACTTCTACCACAGACAAGTTGTGTAAGTGGTAAAATTATTCACTAGTGAGATCCTCTTGTGTAATGCAGGATCATCATTACCTATGCATTCTTCACAGACTTGCTGAAACACAGAGGTGAACACAGCATCCCTCCCCTGATGAAACTACAGTCACAATGACTAATAAGTTCAAGCAATGCAGACAGTTGGATGCAGTTTGGTACACAGAGCACAGTTACACTCTGAACAAGTGCTATAACCCTACGGGATTCATTTCACAACCACATAAGGTAATGATGTGGAGACTCCGATGGGTCTGACCATGACCCATTCTCTAAAGTGCAAAATGTGGACATGTGGAGCAGGTGAAATATGCAAAAGTACAGAGCTGTTCTAGCAATACAATCAATGTTTTTATGTAACAGAGGTGTAAACACCTGTGGTTATCTGACAGATGTGTTGGCAAACTGCTTTACATTTGGGGGGATTTGAAGAAGGCGATTTGATTTTAACTCTATAAAACCATTCACAGCATCTTTAATATTACATTATGAGTGTTCAGCACATTTTGTGACTCTCTTTGAACACCTATGTCAAATAAGGTGAGTGAACCATTCTGAAGCTCAAATGCTGTGAGAAGAGATACCCTGAAGTGTTGAGTAGAACCGTTTAGTTTGTTTCCATATAAATGATGTGCAGTAAAGAAACAGACAATTTGATAGTAAATGTTTAGCTTCTGTATGTGGAATTGCTATTATACATCAATTACAAATATTTGACAGAAAAAGTTTCACTCAAAACCCTCTAGCTTCCCTCTGCCCTACTAGCAGAGGTGTGAACTGGAGTCACATGACTTGGACTTGGGTCAAACTTGAGGCACAAATTTCATGACCTTAGACTCTACTTGACAAAATCAAGAAAGACTTGCAACTCCACTTGGACTTTATTACCAATGACTCATGACTTCACTTACACTTAAGCCTTCTGACTGAAAAATATTTGATATCTTTTACCAAGCCCACAGAATAAAAAGTATGTTGTTTAAAATGTGTGCCACAAATCAATTAATTTTCTTTCAGTATCTGATTGAACTAACACTAATGTTATTTATTCCCAGCAAATTCACTTTGTTTGAACCAATCCGAAGCACCCAGTCAAGCTGTGGGAAAGAACCATGAAGAACTACTGAGTGCCAGTTGGAAAAAATGATACCAAAGATCATTTCATTCATGTACAAAAACTATAAAGTGGTCCAAAAAAAAACTAACAGCAGTATGCAAAACGTGCAGGTAGAAAATTACAGAAAGAGATGCAACAACTTCGAACTTTGCTCAACATTTGAGATTGCACAAAGAAGGTTAAGTCAAGGCTAACACTCACATAGTTAGCAAGCTTATGTTTAGCCAACATTGGCTTAACAGCTAAGGATGTTTTATACAGGCTTGTTTTGACAAATATATTCAAATTTTAAAAAGCATTCGTGATTTATGTTCATTTAAAATTGTTATTACATTTGTTAAAGAACACATTATGACTTGTTTAGGACTTGGGACTTGATTTGGGACTTGTCTGTCTTGACCTGGGACTTAACTTGGGTCTCAAATGGAAAGACTTGAGACTTACTTGTGACTCGCAAAACAAAGACTTGGTCCCATTTCTGTTTACTAGATTTCCTCCAGAGCTTTCACAATGTGTAATGTGACTGAAAAGGGCTAAAGGCTGTAGAAGAAATCTAGTAAGCGGACCTGTAAGTACAAACAATCTGTAAACAGAAAGTATTTCACTTACTACAGTAGTGAAACAAAATTAATTTTAACTATTTTTCTTTAATCAGAGTTTTGTTTAATGTCTTTCATAAGGACTGTTTACAAGTATTTAAGAAACAGACACCATTTTTAAGTAAAGCTGCAAGCAGCGTTGGGCGAGACCTCGGACTTACGCCGTTTTGGCCTCCAGCTCACGTAGACAGTTCTAGACAAAAGTTGTAGACGATTTTAGACCCCTCTGCACTCAGTTGACAATTTCTCCACATTTGCTCATGTTACTTTCAGAGGCAGTAGCTCACTTCCTGTTGAATTTAGGTCAGGGGTGTCAGCGAGTGATTTGTAGGTCTCGATGAGACGAACAAGCTAGTTTTGGTTTGATGTTTCTACGACATTCCTATGGGCCGCAGTGGCCATTTTAGTGTGTCTAGGTGGCTCTAGAGAGCCCATTTTGGCACTTTTGGGGTTAATTTTTCCCATTTTATCAAATTTTTCGCCAGTTCTGACATGTGTGCCAATTTTGTTGAGTTTTTGAGCATGTTTAGGGGGTCAAATTTTGTTTTTTTGCGCATCAATGGGGCCCCGTGTCATGCAGTAGGTGCCCTTCTTTCCTTTTCGCCTCTGCCTTTCAAACATCCAGAGTCCATCACTGAGAGAGAGAGACAAGCTGTGAGAGACCAGGCAGATGGAGATGGCTTTAAAATGTCTTGATCTCCTCCCTTTTATTCCCAAATCATAGGTCCAATCGTCAATCTGAACATACCAGCAGAGAGATACACTTGTCCCGAACGCAGACATATAGGTTTTTATGTTTGTGGAGTCAAAAAATGCGATCTTGGTCGCAAGTTTACGATGTCTAGCTCACAGCTGGCAATTTCTCCACATTTGCTCATGTTACTTTCAGAGGCACTAGCTCACTTCCTGTTGGATTTAGGTCAGGGGTGTAAGTGCGTGATTTGTAGGTCTCGATGAGACGAACAAGCCAGTTTTGGTTTGATCTTTCTATGACATTCCTACGGGCCACAGCGGCCATTTTAGTGTGTCTAGGTGGCACGAAGATTGTCTGGAGGTTTTGTGTCACGTCACCTTTAACAGGACATAAAATCCAAACCGTTTACGTAATGACAGTTATTCAGAAGATCTGTTCAGCAGGAATTGGCCTGTGATGTGTGCGAGTTTGAACCTGATACGATAAACAGTGGGCCATATTAGTGTGTCTAGGTGGCGCAAGATCGTCAGGAGGTTTTGTGTCACGTCACCTTTAAGAGGGTATAAAATCCAAACCGTTCGAGTAATGACAAAGTTATGAAGAGGATCTGTTCAGCAAGAGTTGGCCTGTAATGTGTGCTTGTTTGAAGCGGATATGATAAATGGTGTAGGCGAAATCTTACTTTAAAGGGCAAATAGTTCACTTCCTGTTGAGTTTAGGTCAGGGGTGTCAGTGCGTGATTTGTAGGTCTCGATGAGACGAACAAGCCAGTTTTGGTTTGCTCTTTCTACGACATTGCTACGGGCCGCAGCGGCCATTTTAGTGTGCCTAGGTGGCGCTAGAGAGCCCATTTTGGCACTTTAGGGGTTAATTTTTTTAGATTCAAGCAGTGAGAGTGAGACACACTATGCCCATGATGTCACTCAGTACATTTACATGACATTAGAGCAAATCAATTTGTGTTAGTCTGACTAAAACCAGACTTTTAAAATACATGTTAACATATTAGTCAGACTGAAATTGTACTAAATCAAATTTGTCAAAGTCGGACTAACACCCAGATGATACAAATGGGAGTCGAATTACTCCTACATGTTTACAGTCAATTAGACCCACACTGGCCTAGGTGCTCTGCGCATGCTCCACATTTTCTGCCCTGGTATAACAATCATCTTACCTTTAAAGCCTTGCCATAATTCAAATTCGGAAGCTACAGTTAATGCTTAACCTTGGTTAGTGAGGGGGGGGGACAAAATAAGGGGCTTGACCCTGGACCTTTACTGACTCCAGCAGATGAACATAGACAATGAAACTTAAATATACTCAAGGATGATTTATTTTTGTCTTGTGCCCCACCCCAAATGAAAATACAAAAAAAAAAAGGTTGAAAAAAAGGTATTCGGCGGAATTTCCCCTTTAATAATAATTGTCCTCATCCAAGAAAAGATAATCCCAGTGCTAAAGGACAGTCCATTGTCCAATGCTTAAAATGAAAAAACAGGCTCTGGGAAAAAACAATGCATTGCCAAAAATGAAAAATGTTGAGAAAAAAGAGGAATCACACTCACCGGGGTGGAATAAACAGAAACAATCTTGTCCTACTTGGAGGATGGGTCCGTTTCTTTCTGGTCCTCCACACAAACACAGTCGAGGAAACACCAAAAACATGAGTCGTAGAAAACTTTTCTTCTTCCAAGGCAGACTGCTACACTGCACCTCTGTTCCTCTTCCTCTTTCCCAAACAAAATCAAAAGAACCCTCCCCAAACAATTCCCTGCTCTTTTATGTCCTACCTGCCAAGCCCCTTCACCTGAGTGCAGCACACCTGAACACAGTTAACTACCAGGAGGAACCAGATTAGAGCAGGGTTGAGAGGGAGACACTAGAAGACACATGAAGATTATATTAGAAGGCTAACCTGTTTTTCAAACCCTCTAGCAATCCTGTACATGACCCTCCCCTCACCTTTGTGGCGGTGTCACTCTGGGCTTTGACCAGTTGGTCAAATGCATAACAGAAGAAGAAGCCGTTAACAACATGATAACATCCTAGAGCATCTACATCTAGAGCTGTGCCAACAGCCGAAATGTACAGAGCTATAAAGTTGTCCACCATGGTACCAGTTTGCCACGAGCTAACCGTAGTTAACTTGTTTGTTGTTTGTTTGGTCTTTGAAATAATAGGTCCAGTACCAACAAGCTGAAAGGGGGCATAACGCCACCTATCGTAGCTGAGTCGGACATACTTAGGTCAGTAAATAGATTCCCCTCCCATGGTTGTCAACTGGGACAAGGACAGTAGTCCAATTAAATGGCCTAGTCGAGCTATGGTTATAGCTCGACTTAACTATGCATGTAAACGTATTGACTGACAATACAAAGATGGCTACACGGCAGTGGTAACTCAAAACCAGTGGTGGAATCAGTACAGTAATGGGGGCCATCATTAACAGTGTTTGTCTTTTTGTTTTTTGTGTGTTTCACTGGTGTTAAAATGCTACATCTCAGACTTTGGCCAAGAGGAGAGACTGAATTTTTGGACAAGGGACACACTAGTATGTATGCATCTGGATTATTTTATGTTCTTTATTTTTACTTTTTGGTATTTGAGGGTTCTGAAACATGCAAAACAGAACTTTCACTGTCCATTTTGTGTAAGATAACTTGTTGCTATATGACTAGAAATGCTGGCCTTTGTTATAAACCATCACAGAGGCATAAACACTGTGCTGACTGGCTCTGAACTAGAGAAGGAACCCTTTGTGAAAAGCTGCAGTGGTTCCCACACACATACCACCAACCCAGAAAAAATGAGGACATGCAAGTATTCACTCACAGACACACACCATCTCTTCAACATTCCCACATGATATTTCACAAACTATCCATCACACATAGATAATCACATGCACACATTCCCACACCTACATTCACAACAGCTGCAGTCACAGTACGTGTGTTTACATGGAGCCATGTATCCCTTTTGCATTCAGGTTGGAAGCCCTACCCGAATAGAATGCTCCTTGTAAACACCTCAACCCGAGTGAAAACAGCCAACCCGAAAGAAAATCTAATCGGGTGCACAGGGGTGGAATATTCCTTTTCAGAACCCGAATGGAAGAGTTTTTCTGTCTTGTATACACCTCCTACCCGATTCCAGCGATTCCGTTCTTTCTGCGCATTCTCGTTTCCTTGCCCTTCTGGCGCGATGACGTATACAGCGTGCATAGCAACGGGCTGAGATAGAGCAGAGCAGTCAGACTCGTTGCACTCACCGGTTTCCATTCGCCACAGAACGGACCTCTATCTCCCTTCTTCGACCTTCTACCTCTCTTCTCCTCCTCAACAAACGAAGTATTAGCAGAACAAGGTTGTTGTCGTACTGCTGCTTCAAGAATATAAGCAAAACAAGCCCGAAAAAGGCACTAAGAACTGCGTCGTCAAGCATCTTGTTATCCGGAGCGAGGACTACTGTGTTTTCTTCCGGTACATGTAAAATCCGGCCCGCCCCTATCCAATCAGAAACCTTCCCTGCTCCAAACCTTGCACAGACCCAAATAAAGGCGATTAAACTGATCTCCCATTCGGAATGAATATTTCCCATGTAAACTACCTGGAAGAACTTTAATTCCAAATGATTTCATTCTGAATGAGAAGCCATCATGTAACCGCACCCAGTGTGATGCTTACCTTGCAGGTAGTCAGCGAGATCACCTCCATTACAGTACTGCGTGTAGAGAGACAAACAGTCACTATCAACAATTATTAAATTCAGGTTCAACAATGTCAAGCTGAGAAGCACATTTCAGCATTTGGTATTATATATGCATGATTGTTCAAATCCAAGCCCAGATAATGGCAGACTCATCAATTAATCTGCTGAAAGACTGGAGCTTTATCTATGCTGACAACTGCTACTGACTGCTAAATTGCAATTAGTTCTTATGAGGGACAACAAGATCAGGCAGACAAGGTTAGTGTGGTAGGTTAAAAGAATGTGAACTGCTGGGTGGATAAGCAAAGACGAGGTAGACTAAAACTACAGTCCACTTCCACAGAACAGGATTCCTGAGTGTAACCCTGCTTGCTTCACCCTGGCCCCTGGGTCTGAGGTGAACTTCCTGTACAGAAGGGTGACATATTTAATCCCTGTCCCCTTCTCCTCAAGAGGCTCTTGCCTTTTGCCAGGCCGCCATTGTAAATAAGAATTTGTTCTTAATGACTAAAAAAAAAAAAAAAAAAAATAAAAAAAAAGGAAAAACTCCTTTGCATAGATTCTCTAAGCTTTACTGTAGAAATTAACAGCATCCATTCCAAAATATATGACCTTATTTAGTGTTTTGATGATGGTGGTGGAGAGCGTCTAATACTTTCACTCCACAGTCACCCATAGCTGTTCAATGTGGTTGAAATCTGCCAAAGCTTCTTAACATAATTTTCAAACTCATCAAATGATTAAAGAGGCAACAGATAGACAGATAGGATTTGTTTTTTGTTTTTTTTTAGCTTGGCGCCACCTAGCATCAGCGGTGTTGTTCGCGCTGTCGCAATGACCAAATTGACCGTGGGGATCAGAGATAATCAATAAAATGTAGGCTGTAAAGCCACCAGTATACCTCTATGTATATGTAGAATGAGAAGGTGTGTGGACACTCTAATAAATAAATGCATAAAGAGACAAGCAACAATTATCAGATTTATCTGAAGAAAAAACAAATGGTCCAATGCGCGTCGGGGTTCCACTCCCCTGTCGGGAGTTATTTTTCAAAAGTCACCGGCTCACTATACATTATCCCGCTTTTAGAACATGGCACTCTTAAATACTTGATTCTCATTGGTCAATCAACAAAATTCTGCGGTGTTTATTTCTCGAGGTATCACCACTGCTCTGCTGCTCCGTTGCTCCGTTGCTAGGGACGCCATTGCAACAGTCGACTGAGGAGCATCAAAATCAGTTAACGTTAGTCCACACAGCTCTCCCAGGCTGGCCTGGAGAGCAGGGAGATCATGTTGGTCACTGGCCATAAATGTGAGGGCAGCCTTCGCAGCTACTGGGCACCCAGCATCTCCGACCGGGAGAAGTGGAGTAAAATCCTCTCCTCCGTTCCAGAAAACGGCCGCAGTTTGTCTGGTGAACGCCTCTCCTCTCTCAATACTCTCTGCCAGCAATTTAATAATATTGATACCAGTTGTAACATTTGAATGTTTTAGTAGTAAGCCATGTTCTAGTAGAATTATACCAATATGCACATGTAAACAGTCCCGATTCTAGAATTAACGGTACCGTAGGGAAACGATGTGAAAAAGTCCAGTGTTCACTTAGCTAGGCGTAACTTAGCTGGGCGATGTCTGTCGATAGCTGCCTCCGTGAGAAGAGAACAGAAGGAAGGGAGGGGGGTGTCACTGTCCGAAGGCTGCCATAGAATGGCAACGAGGATGTCAGCCGACCAACACTCGCTACCCGGTCCCTGGTTGTGGCGATTTGCGATGCTGGCCAGCTAGGAATTAACTAGCAGCCAGTACAGTACAGTCCTCTCTCGTCTAGCTAACATTTAGCCGTGTTACTTACTGATCCATTAGAAAGAACGCTAGCTGGACATCGGTTTTGAAGCCTCTTTGGTCACGGAGCTCCCTCCATCTCTTGAACGCCTGACTGAGGTTTACTCTTGTTTTTCCTCTTCTTTTATCACTCTCCTTTTTGCTCTTCTTTGCCTCCTCACACAGAGGAGCTCGTTTTCTTTTGCTAGGCCGTTTTTCACTTGTTTCCAAACTTTGTCCGTCTGCCATTGTGCTCGTGACTCAACTATCTCATGCCCAACTCCTCATAAGAACCAGCTCCAGTCCCTGATTGTCTGACCGACTAGTTTTGCAATACATGACGCGTTTCCTGCCGTAAAGCAGATTTTTTCCACGAAATTTCAGCACCGATGGCAGAAGCTTATTGCAAAGATTGCAAAGCCACTAAGTAACCTATGTAAACGCTGATAGTCTGATTTTACTGTGGCTACTACCCTGTGCAACCCACATTATTTTCATAATGATATATTTAGGAAAAGATGCTATCTGTTGCCTCTTTAAATGGGCCCACTTATTCCACAATGAAGCAGCTGGATTAATTATTCTTTCAAACCTATTTATTCTGGGTTTTCCTCCAATTTGTCTATATATATTTAACCTTTCTGCAAGTGATGACACACTATAAATACTGTGAAAATGTGGCCTGACACAACACAATACTTAAAAACAGTTGATAGACACCACTAGTGGATGACAGATAATTACACACTGCATGATTCTACTTTGTACACAAAACAAATAAAACATGACCTTCCTCCCTCTGTCAGTCAAGCATGCAAAAAAACCTGTAGCTTCACTACCTGACTGTAGCCTCTAATGAAGCTGAATTTAATTCTGGCTTTTTTTGATCAGCATCCAGCTTCCGTGTTTTAATGCTCTAGTTGACTTCATCTTCAAATGAAGAATTCTTATAGACTTGTACTGAAAATTATAACTACAAAAAGCCATTCTCTGGGACAGCTAATTGCCCATTGTGTATTTCTGTGTCATATGGAAGCGTAGTTCAGCCACGCCAGTTAAAAAAAAAACAAAAAACTGATAAATATCAGGTAATAACATGAAAAGCTTCTTGTTATAACAAAAAGTTCTTCATGGTTTTACAAGATATGTTAATTTTATAACAAGATATTTTCACATTAGGACAAGACACTTTTCTTGTAAAAACAACAACAAAAAAAACTTGTCATCTACTTTGTTATAACCTGAAAGGTTTCACATAACACAAAATTTTTCTTGTGCAAAAACAAACTTTTGTTATAACAATATACTATTTATTTTGTTATAACGTGAAACGTTCAACATTATACCAAGAAACTTTTCTTGAAAAAAATAAAAACTTTTCTTATAACAATATACTATTTATTTTGTTAAAATGTGAAACATTTCACATTATGATAAGAAACTTTTTTTAGAAAAAAGAAAACTTCTCGTTATAACAATAAATAACGTGAAAAGTTTCATGTTTTTACAGCCTCTCCCAGGTGATTTTGACAGAGAATCGTTAAAACCCTTGTTAGCATAGGCTAACAGTATGCACACTTATCATGATATCATCCACTGTGCTTAATAACATATATATCTATAACGTGGAACATATACTGGTATAACAAGATAAATAGTATATCATTATAACAAGAAAAGAACACAAAATAAGCTTTGTTATAATGTGTAAATATCTTGCTATAACATGAAAATATCTTCTAAAAATGTGAAAAACATCTTGTTATAACAAGCAACTTTTCACGTTATTACCTGATACTGAGCGTTTTTGTTTGTTTTTTTGTTTTTTGTTTTTTTCTGGCATGGCAGTACTGTACTTTCATGGTGTCAGCTCCAAAAACAACATAATAAAAAAACACACCATGATGTCAATCAATGTAACCTAGTCCTACGACAGTTAATCCAAACACACAACATTCCATAGGATTATTATTGAGTATACTGTAGAGCTTTCTACACATAGAGCACAACAGGATTTTAAGCAAAGGCTTTCAGGGAACATGATTCCTAGAAAACAGAGGGGTGTATTTTCAATGAGTAACTTGAGGTGCAGTCAGGGTGTGTTTTCTACCCTGCAGCCAGCTGAGAGTGTTGCAAAACAAGTGGAGACATTTAGGGAGGATGCAGAAAGAAAAACAAAAGAGGAAAAGGCAAGTCAAAAGACTGCCAAAAGGGGAAGAACACATGCAGACAGCCACTGTTGGGGGTAAACCATTACATAATTTATGTTATCACATGTTACTTACATAAATAAAGTGTTGTTAATTAAGTAATTCATCTTTAGAGTAAGTAACATAGAAACAAGTTACACTGAATTTCCCAGCACGAGTGACAGCACATGAGAAGAGGGTATGAATGAGCTCTGACTCCTCAAATACCCAGACATTTCTATACTTACCTCCATGACCAGGAAAACAGAGTTGGGTGTTTCCTGGAAGAGAAGAGACACAGAATCAGTTACAGAAGCCATTTGCCCTGAAGCAGCTGTCAGTTCAATCACACATCCATAAGAAAACAGTCTTGAGGAAAAAAATCCACAATACATAACACCAGCGCTTGCTATTTTTTGCTATATCTAAATATAGATTTCTGTCTTATGAAAATGCTATTTAATGGTTGTGACACAGACAATATTTCAAATTTTGCTCAGCAGCAAGTCATGGAAAAATTACCCCCGTCAACAATATAACATTGCATAAACATTGCACACGCTGGCACAAGAAGCATGATAGAACGTGTTGAGCTAAATTGAGCTAAAAATGGAAGGTCATGGCTTCAATGATAACCAATCGCCTTATTTCAACACCTTTAACTTTTCAACAAGGTTCAAAACAATGATGTTCAATGTCAGGACTTCTATGTAATCTAATCATTGAACCATCAGCAGAGAAAATAAGATCTAAAAAGAACATTAAAAGCACAAAACTTAAGCACTGGAATGATGGTGGACTTGAAGCGCGTGGGTATGACAGACTGAGCCAGGGACAGGTTGAATATCATTGTGAACACTGGCGCTAATTGGTCAGCCAATAGTTTGAGGACCCGCCCAATGACACCCTCTGGTCCTGTTGTTTTCTTGATATTCACATGCTTTGAAGCCCTCCTGACATCATGCTCAGAGAGGAACCTAACAGAAAGAACCAATTCATTAAGCTCTGCTTCATCTGAATTTATTCATAGGCTGCTGATTGTCTCTAAGCGAACATAAAAGTTATTCATTTACTAAAGATGCATCTTAACCCCAGTTCAGACCATATATTCACAGTGAGACAGGTTAAAACTTGCAATTATTGCAATGCGTCATACTGGTTCACACCAATGCAAATGAACAATGTGTTGTCTCCATAGCAGCATCTTTATGTACTTCTGCTCTAACTTCCAGCTAATTCATAATAAATATGTCACAATAATTTAGCTTACAAGCCCTGAGTAAGAGGTCATTAAGTATGTGTGTAACATGCATATACACCAAGCAGCAACAGCAGCAGCAGCAACCCAACGTCTGACCCTGACACATCGTGAGGATGGAGACCGACATTTTCGTCAACAACGAGGAGATGTAAATAAAAACGGACTCCAGCTCAGTGGGGGATGGGGGGCTGTTGTCAGAGAATGCCGCAACAAGCAAACACGCCATCTGCTGACAGTCTGTAACGGACTTGGCCAGCTGACTTCACTACAAGCTGATTGGCTCTTGAAACAGGTGATGCGCCTTACACCAGCCACTGGTGACTTGACAAGCTGAATCACAGGTGACATCATCAGCTGTTTTGAGTCAAGCTGAGACGAGCCAATAAACATCACTGCAACTTTTTTCTGCAACGTTGTACAACTGTTGGGTCTCGATGCAAATCTTTGGTCTGAAGTGGGCTTAGACCTTGCCACATGCTTCTGGGAATTTCCTCCTGGAATTGTAGTTCCACTTTCTCCCAGTGGTCCCTTTAAGCTTCTTTTTTCAGTCTACATCGTAGACTGCTGCTTTCTAATTGTTCATGTTTCCTGACTACTCTATAGCTGCCTCTGAATGGCATATAGCAGTTTTCCAGAGTGTTTATTCCCCTTGTGGGACAAGGAATATATTGAAAGGAGGCAGGCATAACCATAATAAAGTGATCCTTGACTTGAAGTCTCCAGCAACAGTGAGCGCAGTTCGGTGAGTCTGTGAGCAGTTCAGGTCTTTGCAGACATTTGACAGGGCAGCATCTGTATTCACTTGTGATGGAATGTAGACCTCTAATGACTGACGTAAAGTCCCTTGGTAGAATGTGCAATCTACATTTGATTGTTAATAACTCCAGATCAGGTCACAGGAACGGGATAGCATTTTAATAATCCCGCTGTCACACCAGTCCTTATTTACCATAAAGTGCAGGCCTTCTCCTTTCCTCTTACATGAGTCCTCTGTTTGGTCAGATCAGTATACAAAAAGGGTCACCTGGTTGAATGCCATTGTCCAGGATTCCAGGATTAGCCAAGTTTCAGTGAAGGATATTACAGTTCCTGATATCTAGTTGGAAACTGACACAGGCACAGGGATAATCCAGTTTATTGTCCAAGCCTCTACATCAGCGAGCAGGATGCTTGACAGAGAAGATCAGTATGGTCGGACTCCGGGGTTTTTTCAGACCTAAATGTATTGCGGAGTTTTGCAGAGCGGCAACCGGATCTTTGCTCTCAAACCACAAAAAAATGTGATGGCACAACAGTCTCCTTCAGTACATTATTCTATGCTTTCTTTTGATTTTCACATTGGCTAGTCATCCTGTTTAATTTGTCTTCTGATTAAATCGGAACCGTTGAAACAAGTTGTAGGAAGCCTCTGCAAGTAATTGGTTGCTGGCAGACACTCTGTGCTGCAATAAAATGGTTAATTAGCAGTGCCGTGCACTGTAGAGCCGATGCATTTCTGGTTTTGGCTTCTCTAGCTTTACTGTTGTGTAGCCTACAGCCTTTATAGACTGAGCTGAGTAGTGATGCGCGGGTCGACCTGTAACCCGCGGGACCCGCAAATGGACCTGTGGGACGGGCAGCAGTGATCGTCTGTTAAATCGGTCTGTAAATGATATTTTGACATTAATGGCTATTACTGTCATGGCATCCGAAGGTACTGATGTGTTGAGCAGGTGACTGTCCGCGGCCGTTTTCAAAACACACTTGTGTCACGCACTCCAAAAGAAACTTGTTGAAACTTTAAACAATAATTTATTGTACAAAACGGAGGAAACAAACGTTGACAAAAAACGGTTCCATAATTCATATTAAATTCAAAAGATAATGAAAAAACAGCTACAAGTTAGAGGGAATAGTGATAAAGTGGTAAAACTTGGCATTGATCCACACCACAGCCTTAGACGGATACGCTCAAGCGTGTCATGCGCACAAGCTCCGTTGGTAGGCTATTAGGGGTGTAACGATACATCGATCCACATCGATACATCAATTCATTGATTAACGATCCAATTATATCGATGCAAAATGAAAACATCGATCCATATCGTCATTCTAAAGATACACATTTATTTTGAAATTTACATAGCACGTCTGTGTCACCATTTCTGGGCAAATGCGCCTCCGCTCAAACAACAAACAGAGCTCAGAAATAAAATGGTCAAATTATATCCTAGTTATTTTTGTGAGTTGATGTAAATGANGATCCAATTATATCGATGCAAAATGAAAACATCGATCCATATCGTCATTCTAAAGATACACATTTATTTTGAAATTCACATAGCACGTCTGTGTCACCATTTCTGGGCAAGTGCGCCTCCGCTCAAACAACAAACAGAGCTCAGAAATAAAATGGTCAAATTATATCCTAGTTATTTTTGTGAGTTGATGTAAATGATTGTGTTAGATGGGCATATGATATCGCATCATATCGATCACAGGCTCCTGAATCAAATCGAATCAAAATCGTATCGTGACAGACTTTGTGATATCGGCAAACATCGTATCGCCATCCAAACAAATCGATATAATATCGTATCGTGATGAAGCTGGTGATTTACACCCCTATAGGCTATACTATATTTTCACATTTTTAACAATGCAATTTAAAAGTTTTGATTTTTATTGATAACCTACATTTACCAAACAACAAAAAGACTACATTTAGCACCAAAAAAAAAAAGTGAAAAAAAAAGTAAATAAAAAAACGAATATCGAATACCAAATTTTCATAACGAATACCTACCCATAGAAACGAATATTCGAATATCCCAATATTTGGGTACAGCCCTACACATTACAACCAAACAAACAAACAAAAAAATTCTATCAGCATCTGTAACCCCTTTCAGTCCATCCTCCCCATCCTAAACCCCACCCTCACACTCCTTTAATGGATGTACTCCTCATGGTCTCATACATTAACATACTGCTTCTCTGCTCTTTGCATTTCATCACAATGAGCGACTTTATGAAATGTAGAACAGCACATGTAAGTCACATTGACACTAAGTAATTTTGTACTGGAGCCCAAATCTCAGCATAGTCCCCCTCATCACTCTCCAACTTAAAGGGATAGTGCACCCAAAAATGAAAATTCAGCCATTATCTACTCACCCTCATGCCGAGGGAGGCTCTGGTGAAGTTTTAGAGTCCTCACATCCCTTGCGGAGATCGGCAGGGGGGCGGCTAGCACACCTAATGGCTGACCGTGCCCCAGACTAACGTCCAAGAACACAAAATTGAAACCACAAAATATCTCCAACATGCTCATCCGTAGTGATCCATGTGTCATGAAGACCAACATAAAAAGTTGTTTCCAAAAATGTCATATGAACTCTGTTTTTAGCCTCATTGTAGCCTGTAGCTCTGACTGCTTCTCTGTGCTCCGTGCTCACGTGTGCGCGCTTGCGTGAGACCAGCAAAAGCACGAGCTTTGCTTACCCGTGTTTACATCACGTGACACGTGCACCGCAGAGAGAGACAACAATAACCACATATCCGAGACCAACGCCATTGTCCGCCTGAACTACAGTAGAAATGAATGACTTACTCCTCTGAAAGCCTGCCATCTGGTCCTGCGGGCCTATGCCTTTTCTTCCAGTTGATCTTGGGGAAGTAAAAAAATGTCTCCAGAACACCACGGGTCAGTAGTGCTGGAAACTCAGGGTGATCTGTGATGCACGGTCTCTGAAGAGCAGCGGTCTCGTCAGTACTGATTCTCAAGTGCAGGTATTGCCAATTCCCAGTCTGAGAAGCAAAGACTTTCCTCATCCGTTGGCATTGCTTTGCATTTGAAACAACTACACCACCAGGTTTCCAGTGCTCAGCTGGCTGAGGGTTAGGCTCATGAGCTGCGACGGCTGCTTTGTCCAGTAGCTCAAACAAATACGGCTCAACAAAGAAATGCTGTTCCTCCTCAATTTCAAAGTCTTCAGACATGTTGGGCTATCCTTTGCTAAAAGACCGTAGTGCAAATTA